TAAACACCACCAAACTTTAATCAAGGCACGTTCTATCATCATGGCTCACGTGATTACAATGAGAAATAAGAAAATCACACATTCACACGCCATATATATCATTAACAGAGTTATATTCCCGAAGTTGGAATATCTCTTCCAACATACTATTTTAAATTACACACAGGCTCAAAAATTAGTGGCTCCACTTAAAAAATTGTTTAAAAAATTTTTTTCGTTACCGTTGAACACGGCGGACAATGTTATTTATAATAATATGTTTCCTCATATCGATAATTTATTGGATTTGTTAGTAAAATCACAATCTAATTCGTTGTTGGCTTTATTCAATACTGACACCTTAAGACCGATAGCAATACAAAAATTGGATATATTAGCACAAGAACTATGGTACCCAGGTATACCTCAAAATATCAACAAATATATAGGAAAGATTTCGACACCTAGCTATTTATCACGAAGTCTAGCGTTGTTAGAACAATATCAAATTCACCTAGACCTTACTGTCAGTTATGGTATCATCGGTGGACATACACCTATAGTAGATTACTTACCGGACTTATCGTCAAATGACTATAAATCGCTACGTAATAAACGAATTATGTATCTGGATCAATTAGTCTCGCCCGATGGCAACTACCTTTTAACCTGGAATGAAGTTAAAAGACTAAACAACAACAACTTCAAAGGCCCTAAACCAAAGTGGTTTAATCTTTTAGAAAATGATTTCACCCTAAGTAATTATCGTACATTAACATACCCGCTCACTGACAATTACTCCATTCCTACGTGTTTACAGAATGTTCCGGAACGTTCATTAGGTAGTCATAAAAAACATAATGAATGGACATACCATTGGAACGCTAGTATACAAAATTGTGTTATTGGAAAAACATATTTACAAGATACTGATACACATAGCTCTATTAGCACCATGGAACATTATATCCCTATTAATAACTCTTTACTAGTGAATAATACCTCTTCTCAATCATTATTATCATCACCTTTAATATTAATTCCTTGTACGGGTTGTCAATTAAACGATTATAGTTTAGTTTTGCAAGACGCCCGTATTAAATGTTCAATTTCTATTCGTACAAATCGTTTATCAGTTTTTATTATATTTCATTGTTCAAATCAAGAACATAAACAATATGCGAATCTTCATTTAAAAAAATACTTTGTTAGTACTAAACCATTACATTTTATTAGACATAGTGCACATAGTATATATTTAGCATTAATACTATCACTCCTACTCCTACGTCCTTGTCCGCTAATTTACATTCATCCGTAAATGATGACACTGTTAATCAATTAATTCTACCTATTCAATCTGCACTTTTATGTACAGATTTTATCAAATTATCTTTAATAGATATAGTTAAAAAATTTTTACCTTTTACTAATTTTGAATTTTATTCAGATAGTTCCGTTTCCGATATAGGTACAATCAATAGTAGATCTGGTTTTGGTTGGTTACAAACCAATCCACTAATACCTCAATTATCTTTCAATGGTTCATCTATATTTTTTCCTTCCTCATTTAAAAGTGAAAGTTTAGCTATTTTAACAATTTTATTAGTTTTACCTTTTTATGCTACCTGTCATATATATACAGATTCCCAAAATTGTATAGATATTTTTAATCAAAGATTAGCCTCACCCACTATTAGTCCACGTCGTAGGCTCAAACAAAACAACTTTCTAATCTGGGATTTGATCAGTTGGTTAATCTCCCATCATCGCTTAACGGTACATCTCGTTAAAGTTAAAGGACATAGTAACGTCAAAGGCAATGATCAAGCTGATGCTTTGGCTAAAGCAGGCCGCCTATCGGATGACCCGATATTGATAAACCACGAATTCTTTCAGCAAAGCTCGTTGGCTCTATTCAATTACAACCATTTATATATAATCGATCATAATGTTCGGAAATGGGCTAATACGCCTATTCAGTCACGCATTTTCAACATGGCTGTGAATAATAGTTCATTGTCTTCTATTAATCACCAAATTACACATGGAGATATAGATTGGGATTATACCAAACAGTGGATTAACTATAATTCTACGGACACACCTACATCATCAAAACTCCGAAATATTCAATCATCTAAAATCAAAAAGTCTACTTTCAATTACCCCACTGGAAACATACTACAGCGCAATTATCCAGATCTTTACCCCCTTGGACGAATCAATTGCACCGAATGCTCCTTCGATGAAGATACTAATTCACATATAGGCTTATGCCCTGTTCATCGATGCGCTATTGATACACTTTTATCAAAATTCAAACAACAATTAATTAACCTCATTAAGGCCGAACATACCAGCAGTTTCTCGTTCGATATAGAATGTAGAATCAATAATTCACTCATGTTCAAATTACTTCCAGATGTTTTAGACTCCGCACGGCAAGCCGATTCTACTACCCCGGTCCGGATTCCGCGTGAACAACCGTGGATTCTCTTATTACATCACTTGATCCCTCGAGATCTCCACAGGTCGAAATGCTAAAATCGGCAAAAAAAATGGCGCGAAAAGCAGTGGCTATTCTTGGCTATTCTTGGCTATTCTTGGCTGTTTTTGGCTATTTACGAATTAACCTATACTATTTGTAAATAGTTTATACAAATTTGCGAATAGTTTATGCGATTTGCGCCATTTTTTTTGCCTATTTTTGGTCATTTGACGTGTGCTCGCAGTATTTTTTGATAATTATTTTAGCAAACAAAGTGAACGTTCACGATTTTTAATCGGATTTGTGCAAGAATTTATTTCTGAATTAACTGCCATAACTTGGTCATCACGCTCCCGCTCATTTAAACAGTGGGAAAAAAGCCTCAATATCACACTTAAAAAGAAGAAAAACTACCGAAAGAATAAAACACCTTCCCGCCTGCAACCACCTTTATCAGCGGATGAAACGCCTCTTATAGTTCCGTCTAGACGCCGCCGCCAATATACTCGTTACTATCATAACAAAGTTCTTCCTTATTTTAAACAACTAGTCAACATCGACGTGTCCGCTTGTATAAGATGGACGACTTGTAATTTTTTACATAGTGGTACTTGGGAGTCGTATAGAGATAGTCTCTTATTTAATTTAGATCAATTCTCATCTATTCAATCCTTCTTAGACTCACATAATCCACCTAGAACTTAGTCCTTAGTCAGTTCTTTGGTTTTTTGGGATCGGTGTCGTATTTGGGACCCACCCTTGTTTCGTTTTATATACCAGAGTGGCGCCGTCCTCGGGCGGTTTGATTATAGCTTAGTATTAGATAGCGTTTGACTTTTGTTTCATCTTTTGTTCTTGTCTATCTTTCTGTAATCTAGTTCACGTGGATTTTAAAAATAAAAATAAATTATATTTGATCACGTTTTCAATATTTTGGGCAAACTTTTGGACTTAGATTTGGATTATATATGAATTCTCTTTTTGGTCTTATTATTTCTGCTACCGATATTGGAATGGTTTTGTTCTTACTAACCTTTTGTAGTCGATGTCAGAGACGGGTTCTTCAAGTTGCGCTCTATCCTAAACCTTGCTTAGACCACCATCTCTGTAACAAGTGTGAACGTCTTTGATCGCTGAGAATAACCACAATATGAGAAATGAGGGCCAAAAGCTTGTAGCAGCTATTGTTTTTGTTTTTGTTTTTAATTTTATTTCCTTATTTGTAGTAGTGTTTTATGTTTTGTTTCCTTTATAATCCGGTCTTGGTTTCTTTTTTTTTTGTTTTTATGTGTTTGGTTTTTATTTTCCTCGAATTTTATCTTTATTCAATTAGGTTTATTCTATGAGTATTTCTTTCCTTTTTAAATAGTTATCCTTTATAGTTTAACTTTTGTTTCACTCTCCTTATGAAATTTTATGTAAGGATTAATGGCACGTTTAGATTTACCAGTTGTCCAATCCTGTTTAGCGTTCTTTATGAAGATTAGGTGGGAAGTAAATCTTACGTACAGTAGTGTTTACTTGGTTTGAAATATAGCTTTGGGAACGATGCTTTAGATTGTTTAGTTTATAGTCTTTAGTTTTACTTTAGTTTATTCTCTGAATTTTCTGTAGTAATACTGTTATGTTGCTCTTACTTTTGTATCGTACTGTTTTAATGTTTGTTAGTTAATATTGAAATTCACTATTTTAAATAAAGTTTGTGGTTATCATACCTAGTTTGCCTATGATATATATCATATAGATATCATACAGATATCATACAGATATCAGACGAATAGATATAGGATAATGATTTCGTATTAATACTAGTAGATTTATAATTTAATTCAGGCAAAAAAATTATAAAATGCAATCATAATTTATATTTTTTTTTAATTTTAATTCAAAACTTTATTACAATTTAAATTTATTTACACTTTTTAATTAAAAAAAACAATTATACTAATTATACTTAAATACTTAAATAAATATATATAATATATAACTTCTACTAAAAGTAGCATAAAAATAAAATCACTTGTTTGCTTATACCTATTTGATTATTTAAAAGAAGCATTAATGATAAATATATTAGTAATAGAAAAGAGAATGTTATTAAAAAATATTAGTATAGATATATAAATATAGAAAATATTAGTAGAAACATTAGCAGAAAGAAAAAGTTAATAGAATAAAAAATGTTAGTAGAAACTAGAAAGAGAATGTATATCAGTAGTAATATAATATTAATAGAAAATATTAAATAGTATAAATGTTAATATAGTAGAAAAAAATAATAGAAAATATATTAGTAGGAGTATTAGTAAAAGGAAAGAAAGAAATGAAAAAAAATGGTAGAAAAACATTCATATAGGCTGATTTGTCTTTTGTTTTTTGTTTTTTTATTAGCGATAAATGTTAAAGATCAATACAAATGGGAAGTCTAATGACTTATATATAGGAAGGCAGGCAATATGGTAAACTAAAACGAATACTATCCAACTAGTTTCTATATAAGTTCTATTTAATACCTACACTATAGTATTATAATCCTCAATTTGGGAAAATGACCTATTTCCTTCGCCCTAAAAACCTGATTAAGATAAAATTAGTTTTTTATTTATCGCACCAAGTAAAATAAAATAATAAATTTGTGAAATCTAAATTAATCTAAACTAAATTAATTTACGCAAAACATCTATAATTTCCGCTAAGATCTTTGATCTCGATGCTTTACGGGACTTGTCTTTTTTATCCTTCTTGGATTTTTTATCAGATTTTGTCTCTTGTGGTTTCTTCTTAGAATTCTTCTTAGAATTCTGCTGTTTTTTCTGGGTCTGTTGACTTCCTGAAATTCTTTGGTTCTTGTTGGTATTATTACCTTGTGACCTTGTTGGTTGCTTTGGAGGTACGTGTCGATTCCAAGACAAGTTTACTTGTTCCCAAGTATATTGATTATCTAATGCTATTCACATATCAACCCACTTTTCAAAATAACCAATAAACTTACGATCCCCCTTAGCTGTTTGTATAATTTTAAAACTTTTCAAACCTTTTATGGCAGAAAGGAATGAATGTGGACAGCTATCCTTCCATAAAGCTGCTAATGTCATAGAATCTAGAATGTTTCTAATCGTAGCTTGGAACTTCTCGCGTTGTTTTCTTTCTTTGAGAGTCCACTTAGCTGGAAACCACCATACAGGTATCTCCCCTAAATCTGTAATCCACACAGGGTTTTCATTAACTTTGAATTGAGCTAGACAGAAGGTACTCAATTTTATTGACAAACGAACTGTCTGGTATTTTCTTTGTTGTTTCATTTGCATACTAATAGTTTTTCCCATAGAGTTAATTGTTTTAGAATTTCCTCTGGTGTCCAGGATACCGGAATATCATATACTAAAATATCTCTGACTCGCAATGTATCCTTATTGGTTGGTATATGACCTGTAATAGCTTGTTGAACTAAATGTTTATTTGACTTTTTCTTTTTATTCAAAGATTTTGTTGAATCCGTTATGATATTCTGTGATTAAGGAATTGCTTGCAGAAAGGCGTATTTTCAATCTGTTTCATAACTGGTGTATCTGTGACGATTTCCATTTTTGATGATTGATCAACATTTGGGCTGTTATCAAGATTAATTCCAGATTTGATCATCTTCATTGGATCTACAATTGGTTGGTCAATTGAGATCATCTGGGACCCCGGATATCTCCAAAACAGGTCATAAGTCACACTTTCGGCAGATTGGCCCATTTTTCAGGGCTCAAAAAATCGTTTTTTGTAAATATCTCGGCATCCAGTGGTCCAATTTTGATGAACTTTTTTTTAAATTGTAGAGCTAAATGAGGGCTACAAAATAAAAAAAAGTTCATTAAAATTGAATTACTGGATGCTAAGATATTTACAAAAAACGATTTTTTGAGTTTCAGCAAAAAGGGTGTTTTTGGCCAAAAGTCCATTATGACCTTTATATTAGATATCCGGGGTCCTGATCATCTCATCAGCGGCTTTCTCCATCAGTTCATTAATTGTTTGATCTAATAGATCATCAGAATCACTCCCATATTGGTAAGTGAAATCTGAATCAGAATCATGGCGTTGGGCTTTTTTCTTTTTTTTCTTATCTTTTTTAGACCTGTGCTTTATTCCCGTCTTAGATTTTTCCTTTTCAGGAGATCGCTCCAAATAACGCTTTTTTGCTTTTTGGATCTCTTCTTCTATTTTTTGCTGTTTCAAATCCATAGAAGTCACATGTTCTGCTATTGATGTTGCCAACATATTTCTTCTATCAGCCGTTAAACGCTTTGCTGCGGCATAACCCTCTACGGCAGAATATATAGCAGTGTGTAAAAAAAAAAGCAAAACTTTCTGGAGTCATTTGATAACGAGAGGCCCTTGGTCCCCAACTATTTATGTCTTCGTCTGTTAAACCAAAATTATTCTGTAGTATATTACGTTGAACTTCTATATCTCTTCTGATAAAAAACTGAGCGGCAAGACCTTCACTAAAATTTAAGTAATTTATATATGTGGTTCGTAAAAAAATTTGTTGTTCTGTGCCTTCAATAAGTGGAAACTTATTTTCAGCTACAGTGCGGTACCTCTATAATAGATACCTCTTATATCTTGTGATCTAATGGTCAGAATTTTATAAAATTTTAAAATTAGATAGCTTTTAAAAAGATAAATACATTAAGCAAATAAAAAATTTTCTCAATTTTTTTTGCTGACATAATACAAAATCACATGACTTAAAATAAATTTGATTGGTTAATGCAATACTTAATGTTAAATAGAATTATGCATAATTTTTTATATATAATTTATAATTATTTAAAGTAATTTGATTAAGTATATTATCAGGATCTTTTCTATGGGATTTATATTTTTTTAGCAAGTTTTCCTGTAATTCCTTTTTGAGAAATAGGCATAATATAATTTGTAATAAATAAAAACTACCAAAATTTTTTTTGATTTTTTTTCAAAATTTTTTTAACAGAGTATGGGTAAGTTTATAAGCTAAAATGATTTGTTTGAATAAGCATTATCAAATGATTATTTTTTTTTTATGTTACACAAAAATCACTTATTCTCAAATTTTTCCCATCATAATAAATTACCTGAACTTCAAACTTATGTAACACTAGCAAAATTTATTATTTTTTAATCTAACCTGATAAGTTTAAAAGCTCTTGAT